TTTATAATAAATGCAAATATTGCACAAAACAGCTCAAAATATAAAGCGATTTTGTGCAACTTTTTGAGCATCTTTAAGCATCTTTAAAAAATGCAGCAAAAAGAATGACGAAAAAAGGAAACTATGTAAACTGTGAAGTTCAGTCGCAACTGAACATGTGCATTTTGATGCAATGGAACATATTTACTTTGTGGAAGGCGGGGGTCCGACTGCTCCATTCAGATCAAGGCATAACTTTAAAATAATTGGACTGAACAGGGCTGAGAGAGGTGACAAGTCGGGCTCTAAGACTTCAATTCATTAGATGATATAACGTCACAGAGTACATGTCCACTAACTGAAAAAACTCATGTACTGATTGCCGCATGCATTCAAAAGAACTTCTATTGATCTGTCAACTTGTCATTTTCATTAAGCGTTCTAACATATCTGGAGTTAAAACATAACAGTAGTCAACCTCTTGATTTGCAAATCATTGTAGGATATATGTTAGTGCCAAAACATGGAGCATTGTTCTGGGCCAAATCAAGTATATGACGTAAAATCTTTCAATTCTTACTGATAACAGGTGATCCAATTAAACGACATCCACATTTCGTTTCTATTTCATTAGCATATTGTTCCATCAAACATCTGGTTTCAGAGTACACATTTGAGCTTTTAAGCTTCTTTGTGCCGCACCTGGCTGGATAAGGCTCTGCTAAATGGATTTTCTGTATAGAATGTAAGAAAGAGTTTAGCTTTTTTTGGAAAAAAAGATGTTTCATTAGACTCTTTTTCTTGTAAGAAAAATGTTTTTTCTGTGTACAAAGTAGCATAATAATTGGGTCCAAGAAGTTATATGAACAACTTAAGTTTAAATGTAGCCTGCTTACAGGCGTTCCTGCCGGGTGACCGAGAAGGAACTGGGAGGAGGAGCAGGAACGCCTGTCCGCAAGCTGAGCTCGTTTAAATGGTTATACATTACGGCAGTAGATCGTCGACCCTAGTCGGGCCCAACTCAGTCAAGAAAATTTTACACAACAATAATAACTTACGCACCTTCTTTTTTCGAATTCTGAGATTGGTTATGAATCCAGTAGGGATATCAATACCATACAAATCCATCACAGGGAAAATACGAGGGTCATGGACCATGAGTTTGAACCCAGTGCCATCCCAACTGTGTGGTCCATAATATTCGTGAGACTCGGTGTCTAACAGCAGTGCCAGTCCAAAAACCTCCCCAAGCTTGCGTACTTTAGCCTTGACATTAATCGTGTGGCAGAGCCCTAACTGAACATAGAAATATTTTGGATGAATGCATTGGATGATAAAGTAAAGGTTGCTTTATTGTAATAAAAGAAGTTATACTTGAATCCCGAGTGAAAAGCCAATGAATTCCTATTTGAACAACTTACTCTCAAGTCAAAAAAGCTCTTGGTGGTGTTGGTAAATTTGAGACAATCTGCAGAAAACTTCATTTCCTTGATGACATCTGTTACACGATGACCATTTGCAAGCACTTCCTTCTCAATGTCGAACGAAGCGTTTATTTGGCTGTGGATTTTTGGCCAGTCTTTCTTGAGCTTAAAGTTTTGTCCATCTAGCCAGAGCTGTCCGTCCTTCCCTTGTATTTTGCTCTTTTTTAACGTATTCTTATTACATATCGTTACAGCGGGGAACCTCAATTCCTAGAATATACGGATGAATAAAACGTTCAACGGCGTGAGAGGACCGTTGAGAGTGCAGTGATAAATTAAAACTTTCTTTCACGTTAATAAACCACTTTAGTATAAACATACCAATGGTCTATCACTCATAATGCGCTGTGATTGGCTACTCTACTAATGGTCCAATTTGTGATAGACCACTCGCGGGAAAATTTATTTCAATTTGTTTTCATTATTTGACCGATTAGTATGTTCATACTAAAACAATTAGACCTCTCGGCCTCGCGGACTCGGCCTCATGGGCTATTAGCTCGTAGTCCACTCGACCTCGAGGTCTAATTGTTAAATATANAGTTGCTATCCTTATAGGAATTAAGATCAGGAAATCGCTAATGGAATTAACTTTTTATCGACTGCGCTTAGGACTGTAAATTTGATCGGAAAACGGGTAAATTTTAATTTTCTTGAACTTTTATCGCGCATTAAACCTCCCCTCCAATTCAGTCTTGCTTCTTGTTATACTAGAGGAATCTAGTGGCTTTAATTTGTAAAAATATCAGGTCCTTAATAAAAAATACTCTACCTTTAACATAGGTGAAACACTTTGTCCGCCATTGTAGCGTTTCCAAAAGTCTAAAAAAACACTTCAAAAAACTTTAGATATGATACTTACCATATGCGAAATAAACAGTGGTGTAAAAAGAAATTTAAAAAGTAGGTGAAATAACTTCCTAACTTACGCTTTTTAAAAGAATAAAGCAAAACAAATCTTATAAATATCAGTTTCAGAGATCTTATCACTTAGGATGAAGTAGTATAGCTCACTGAACCTGACTTGATCTGATAGGAATATGGGACATTGAACCTTGAACTTACCTATAGCTATCAATCGTATCGTTGAGGTCTTGTTCTAAGCGACGATCTATCCCGCTCGCTTTCTTGCATTAAGAAGTTCATTTTTTGCAGTCAATCATTGCACAGTTAGTTTTTATTAATGTTTTGATTGACGGCTGTCCTCAAAAGTTAATTAAGCAGATAGCAGTGTTCTGAAACAAAAGACTGTTGAAACTGTRCAGAAAGATATAAATACATTATAGAAGTAAAACAAAATTTGTTCCAAAGCAGGTGCGACTCCGAAGAACTTGCTGGCGTTTGCTTTACAAATATTAATAAATTTACAAATTTTAGTAGATTTGAGCCTGAGAGGAGGTTAATGCAGACATATTTCATAGATGATAAGGCTGTCTTGAATCTTCTTCAATCAAAACTGATTATAATATATTGAATCAGTGTGTACTATAACAAAAACACTTAACAAAAACTTTTCGTATTTGAGAATTGAAATGTGTTTTATGAATTTATTATGAATCTAGTTGCATTTTATACTTTTTTGTTCAATTTCACAATGGCATTTTCTTTCCTGGTGACACTATTGTATTTAACGTTAGTTCTTAGGCCCATGCAACATGAAAATTTACTTCAGGATAGCTGCAATCAATATATATATATAAAATGTAAACATACATAAAAGTCTTGCATCATGCTTTGTGGAACAGGATTGAGATATACCATGGTTAAATAAAATACTTTTAAATACTTGAATGTTACAAGGTTTTTTTTATTAACTTTTTAATTAAAGAAGATCTTTTTATATTATCCTGAACAGTTGGTTTTGCACTTTTTAAGATTGAGCTATGAAGCAATTGCAAGAAGGAAAATAAAGTTTTTCTTTGGATTAGCTAAGAGGCTCGTCTAAGAGCGTCTACAAATACTCTGCACTCAAATATTTTGCAGTCGTTCAAGAACTGCAGTTTGTCCAAAGGTGAGTTCCCAAACCCAATGTACTCGATACTAGTACTATATTTAAATAATTAAAAAGGAACATATAGCATAAAAGTTTTTGAAAATCAAGTAAATGTTCCATCTGCTAGTGTAAAAAGTACACAAAATACAATGGTTTAATCAAGCTCT